GAGCTCTAAGAAGATGTCTTGTCATAGCTGGGTTTGCGGATAAGTTCACAAGGACTTTCAAAACTTGAATCTGAAATGAGGAACGTACAAGTTCATTGCAAGCTCCAAAACCAGTAAGTACAGCGGTAACGGGCATCAGTAATTGACTGGGAGAGGAAAAGGTGGAATGGGTCAACTAACATCTTGAGTTGCGCACTTCAGGAAAAAACAGAGCTTATGGAGTCACTAGCATGTACGTACATTTGAGAAACAAAACAGACATTTTAGAATCAAATTCAGCTTGACTTAAACATCAAAATAAGGCAAGATCTATAAACAACTCAAAGCAGACAAAATACGGAATATTTTTTAAATATACAGAGGATAGTTAAGTACTATATTTGTGATCAGAAGCATGTAGAAATACACCTCTGTACTTGCCTGGACCTCGTGACACTAATCCTTTAACTAAACACTAAGAAAAGGCCAAATGCTGCTTATTGTACTGAAGTAAAATAGGTCTGCTAAGTTTGCTGGAAATTTGTGTTTTGGAAACTGGTTTTGGTCTAATAGAGCAACTGAATACGTTGATATTGATGGTACTGTGACATCTTGAATAAATGCTGAATTTGGTCCCCATTTGAAGCTTTTCTCTTTCAGTGTTACAATAATTCACAAATAAGCACAATTTCCCATTGCAGTCATTAGGGTTGCAAGAGATGTCATAAGCGTAAGTGAACAGAAATCCATAACTTCTTGGCATGTTTCCCTAGACAGATTCATGCATCAGTGAAGCCCTTCACATGCAGATTCTCCTTTCTCTGTGATGCAGTAGCAATGTTTAGGAAGCAGAAGAGAATTCTGGAATTGCGACAGCAAAGGCATAGGACAATAGCAGTGCATACGGCACTGCTTTGGTAGAGCTCTAGCCCAACGGTTCCACTACCAAGATTCCTTTCCTCCCCTCTTTCTGCATTTACAGATTTTATGCACTATCTGCTATCGTTAATGAGTATTTGATTTTCTAAGCACAGTCTAAACAATTTACAAAAACAGTAAAAATGAGGCATGTGAAGCAGCTTCATAAATGGTTTGTAACAATACACTACGTAATACCTGTGTCCTTTCAGTTCCTTCTGAAAGCAAATGAAGAAAGCATGGAATTGAGTTTGTCATCTTATGGTGGTAGTCACCGGTAACAGACATATTTGTCAACAATCGGAGTCCAGCTAGCTGCAGATCAGAATTCCGGGGAGCTGACTCAACGTTCCTACAAACTTGAGTAATATACACCTGGGGAAAAAGGGAACGAGATCAAAAAGAGAAGACACTTTTTGATACAAGCAGATTTTCTATTTACAAATAGTATCAGTGGCATAGCCACAGTAGCGTAAGTACCTCTTGAACACTGCTGGCTGAATACTTAACCTGATCAAGGATCTTGGAAACAATCATAGAATCGTCTAGATTGGAAGGGACCTTGAAGATCATCAAGTCCAACCATCAACCTAACACTGCCAAAATCACCACTAAAGCATGTCCCACACCACATCTACCCGTCTTTTAAATACCTCCAGGGATGGTGATCCACCACTTCCCTCTGCAGCCTGTTCCAATGCTTAACAACCCTTTCAGTGAAAAACTTCTCCCTAATATCCAAGCTAAACCTCCCCTGGCATAACATGAGGCCACTTCCTCTTGTCCTATTTGGGAGAAGAGACCAACTCCCACCTCTCTACAACCTCCTTTCAGGTAGTTGTAGAGAGTGATAAGGTCTCCCCTCAGCCTCCTTTTCTCCAGGCGAAACAACTCCAGTTCCCTCAGCTGCTCCTCAAAAGACTTACTCTCCAGACCCCTCACCAGCTTTGCTGCCCTTCTGACTTTTTTGTCAGTACTTTTTTTGTTTTGCTTTGAATATATTCAAACATTCTATTGGCATGATAGAAGCAGACATTACAGAGTTATGCTCACTAACCTTTCTGAAGCATAAATTGCTCTGAAAACCCAAATTCCTTTGACTCTATCTCAGAAGTGAAACATTTGCTTTAAGGAGTTATTTAAAAAAATCAATTACAGCAACCAACGTCATCTTAAATGTTGAGAACAAGCTAAGGACAAATCTTGGAATGAAATCCTTTCTTCCAACCATGCGGCCCATTCACATCAGGAACAGCGATGACAACTGACATTAACAACTACCTTTTACCAAATTTTCTTCTGGATGAAAGTATACAATGGATCTTGGAGTCCTAACTAAGAAAAGAATTACTTTGCCTTTACTAAAAGAGTTGTTTTCTACCTATATGCCTATATAAATATTTGCTGTTGGATATGCCTATATAAATATTTGCTGTTGGCAAGCACTACTTTAAAAGAAGTTGCTCAGTGCTAAAGATGCTGCAAACTACCATGTACAGTCAAACTGCTTTTTTATCAAGCTAATGAAAAAACTAGTAAAAAATCTTCGAATCTGTACCAGCTCAATGCTTGGACATGTCTTGATCTCTTGATTAATTTCATGTCAAAAGTGGATGCTTTTAATGGCTGGTCCTTTCATATCCGTAGCATCTACTATATTTAGAAGCTGGGCTTGTCGTTTTTACACACTATTCTTTTAAGATGAAAATATCACCCTGAAAGACTGGTGTCATACAAACCCAGGGGATTGATTACTGTTTTCTCCTCCCTTGCCTAAGGAGTCATGGTAAGTTCAGTCTGAATTCCATCCTATTAAATAACCAGTACTGATGTTCTAGACATGTTTGGAAATCATCTTGCCTCACATAATTTTACTATAAACTTAGCAGCACAATCTCTGTTTGATAGCATTTGGTGAAAGCTGAACACAAACTGCCTAGTTTCCTAACTGTCTTTTACAAAAAGTAAGTGCCAGTGATGCAGTACATTTTTAAGTTATCCTTTTGACCTTGGGATGCACAGATCATCCAGATCTGCTGAATCGTATGTCCAACATCAAAACATTTTGGCATCCTGGCTAGTATTTGACAAACATGCTGAAAGCCCTGTACTACCTCCTGTGTCTCAATTACTTTGATTTTTCCCTTTAAGAAACTTACCTGTATCTCTTCCTGATTTTTAGTATTCATACTTAAATTATTAAGTGCATTTAGTGCTTTTTCTTTAACTTTGGGAACACAATCTGAGAGCATTCCTCCAATAATAGACAGGCCATTCAAATTTCGGATTATATCCTGAAATACAAAACAGACATTTAATAAGACTATTAAAAAAATAAATTAAATGCTGAAGACTTTCCTGGAAGTTTCCATTTTAACACAAATGGAATGCATAAATGAAGACTTCCAGAATAGACTGCACTGTTTAAAGAGAGAGTGTTAGCGATATTGCTTTATAGCTTCCACTGAAATTAAGCATAGTCCTGCTTAGGACCAAAGTATTATTTGACATTATTTGACAATGCCACAGTACCTTTACTTCTAAAATCTGGCCTGCAAGGCATGCTTAAAGCATTTTAGATTTTCAAGAATAAAATGTAATTATTGTATAATGAGTTTATAAAATATCTGAGCCAGGTCACAGTCCCTAAAAGTCCTGACTGAACAGAACAGAATTTCAAGATGCAGCTTGATATTATTACAAGTAGAAGTTCTAAAACTTTATCTTTCTTTTCCATTTCTAATCTTTCTCACTTAGACTCTAACCATCATGGAAAAAAAAAAAAGTACTGTTTTCAAGAAAATCAAAAATGGGCCAATGCACCTTTAGATTCAGTTACATTGTGTTCAGAGAGATTTATATTAAGAAAACAGTTTTGAGAAGCCAGAATAGACAACTGTCATAAGTATCATACAAAAAGGGGAAAAAAAACAAAAAAAAGGGTGGGATCATAGGTTAAACCTTTACAAAGGCATGAAAGTCTGCATCCAGCTCAAAGTTTTTCTGCATCATATTTCCAATTGATTTGAAGAGATGTGGACAGTTGGAAAGTCGCTAAAATGTAAATGGCATCCAACTTTGTAAAGATAAAAAATCAGTTTCAATTATCTCAGTAAATTTCAGATCTGATCCTGAAAGTATTTAACCCTTCTCCAGTTCAACACTTTCAGCAACATTACAAAACTGTAAACAACAGAAGATATATTTACAGCCCTATTAAAGTCTGTACAGAGTTCTATATTTTAAGTTGTACAAACATTAAGCTTACATAAATTCTGTGAAGTTGGTAAATTATACTATTTGGGCTAGCAGAAACTAAGGCATAGACACAAAATGGATTTTAGAACACAAGTTATCCTAGCTCTCAGTCCTGTGTCACTCTTCAGCAAAACAGCACCTCTCATCTTCCATACTGAATCTTATTGAAACACTGTTGTTTTCTGCAGAACAATACTTACTTGATTTACAGAGAAGGCAGCACTGTTGCTGAGAGTGATTAAAGCTTGCTCTTGAATTAATGGATCATCTGTGGCCTGGAGCAAATGAATAAGCTTCTGTAGGGCATCCGCATCCATGGTATGGGTTGACGCTGGAGGACTGTTGTCTGTCAAGGATTAAAAATGAAATACTTGATACAAAGTTTGAGACATTTTACTTAGTTGCCACTTAACATTTTTTACAAACCTGAGGTTTAGTTCTCAGTTGTAGGATGCTTTGTTCCAAGTTTGATTGTACCCAACCATCATATCATAGCAAAAAGACTGTGTTTTACAACAGCCAGACTTCTGTCATTTTTCCTGAGTCCCCCGACTACCTCTTTTCTAAGTAGAAAATAAAAGGAATACGTAACAAGAGCTTGAGGTGTGTTACTCTTTGGTTAACCAACAGCAAACCTCCCCCTCAAATGATTAGGAATATTCACTAAACACGTTAATTTTTTTCCTTGTGTTCCCTGAAATATGGAAGCCTGTCTGGAAACTGTAAGAAAACAGAACTTCCAACCTGTAGACTACTACTTCCAGAAATTATGATAATGACGTTTTGCTAGTACCCTGAGGTCCTTTGACAACGTAACAGCCACAATGTTAAGAGCACTGCCGATCATGGCATCACTCAACCAACCAAGGAAGGCTGTTTCTGAGTCAGGTCGATGTTATGGAGTACCTGGCTTTCATAAAAGGGTGACACAAATGCCATCAAAGATCGTTTTCAGCCAGGTTGGAGGCAGAGCTATTTAGCTAGATGAATAGCCAGGAGACCCAATTTATGACTACTGGACCAGTCAGAGATGACTCAAGATGACTTTTGAGAAGGTAACCAGTCTTTTATAATTCCATATATTTGCTGTCACCATCTCACCAGGCAAACACCATAGGAGAGGTCAAAGTTAATGATGATAATTCAAGAGCTAGCTTGAAAAACAAAATCACTTTTTATCCTCATCTCATCCTCGTCTAAACACTTTGTTTAGGTTTGAATTATAGGGGGAACACGAATAACTTCAATAACAGAACAACAAATCAGCCCATTAAGTAAACACACCGACTGGACGTTTGCTTCAGGCGACTTTAAAAAAATAAATTAGGCTTTTCTAAAAGTCAAACACGCTCTGGAGTCCTCCAAAGCCGTCGCATGGCTACCACAGGGCCGGTCAGCCGTACTGTGCACCCCGGCCGCAGACCCGCCCCCGGGGCCGCAGGGGGGCACAGCGC